TCCCGATTCGCGTTCTTCTTCTTCTTCCACCTCGGAGAAGACTCTTCTCTGCGTGGCCTATCGCCCTTATCCTGATCGATCGCGATGTCCATCGTCGACCTTTAATGACCGATCGTCTACCGATCCCGCGGTACCTTCCTCCTCGTACAAACGTTGGTCCTCAATTTCCCGCGAACGAACGAGACTCAGAGTCTCCGCGAATTCGCCGTTCTTGCTTCCGCGCCGAACCACCCCCTGAGACTTAAACGAGTGGATCGCCTGGGCTGGCCGAGCTGCCCGACCGAAGCCAAAATCTTCCACTCGACGTCGAAATCTTTTCTCTCTCGCTGTCCGAGAAGGGCAGAAGATGATGATTTTACGCGGTTTTACGATTATTTGACCGTTTGCACCGTCAACGAGAGGAAGGAAAAAATAAATCAACGGCCGCATTTAGGGAGTGGTGCTTGCCGATAACGGAGTTACAGCGGCTCGCCGGTAGAAAGGAGAGATGGCCTCTCTAATGAAATTGGAAGGGTACAAAGAGACGGTTCGCGTCTGTCCCTCCGACTCCGGCAGACGCTCCTAAATGGCTATTAACGCGAATTTCGGGACTATCTCCGTCTCTACCTCGAGTCTCTGCCTCCCTCGCGAGTTACACCACTCGCGGATCCCTCTCGATCGTCGGCCGCCGGCTTCTTCTTCTCGCGAGATCCTTCTCCCGAGAGACAGAGATCCCGCAAAATTTCTCTCTCGCGTTTCCACGTTAACCTCCAACTTACCAAAAGCGCGCTCAAACCAGAGTAAAAAGGCAGACGCGCACCCTCCAAGCGGTTTGTTTTATTTTGAGAATGTGCACTGTTGGTGCTTCGTCGTTTCTTAGGCAAGGCCGAGTTCGATTCGACAACGAAATTGACGAGTTTCTCTGCCGTTTATTTTCCTTGAAAATTGTTGCATCAAAGATTCGAAAAATCTGCAGGGAAGAACTTGAATTTTCATCGATTCGTAAAGAGAAATAAAAAACGAAAAAGAAAAACGAGCATTTGCAAAGTTAAAACGATCAGAGGTAAATTTGGTTTCGCGCCGCGATCGATTGCGCCTGATTTCTCCGAACAATTCGCAAGTTATTCTCAAGTGCGAACATTTCTTGGAATATCTTGAAATCTTTCCTTCCGTACGTTTGAATTTTACAATGAATTTCGCAAAAGCGAATTTCTTTTTGCACGCGGCGAGTACACTCGACAGAAGTCGCTTAAAAATAGTTAAATCTACTATCAAAGTGTTTCATGACGAGTTATCCCGTCTCACGCGTTCAGAAGCATTCTTTCGTGACGACGAAATAACTCGTTCCAGCTTCGATATCTGAGCAACGATACTCGCACACGAAGTGAATACGACGTTCGGTTTTTACGGCTGGGGGGTTTGCGTCGCGATAAAAGTTGCTTTGCTACGTCGCGAATGATCGACACTTTTCTTCTTTCGTCTTTGTCAACTGTAGAAAGACAATTATCTACTGTTAAAAACGACAGCGAGTATATTTTTCTCTCGTCTTCGTCAACTATAGGAAGATATCTCTACTGTCGAGAGCTGGAGAAAACAACCTTTTGGCCAAGGTTCCTATTTTTCATTTAAAAATTTCGTATCGCATCGGTATCGCGACAAAGCGATCGATCAGACCCGCATCTCCTTCGCATCGGGACTTGCTTTCATCAGCTCGCGTCGAATGGCTCTGATATCTGTCCATTGCTCGGCAGCAGCACAGCAGTTGGACGTTGGAGATTTTTTCGAAAACAAAGGGGAACGCGGAGGCAAGCAGAGAGAGAGAGAGAGACAGAGAGCCTCTTTATGGCAGTGGATCCGTTTTAAGCCGTGGATCATCGTAGGCTGGCGAACCGGCTGGGGTAGCACCGGCCATAACGCTCGTATTTCTCATATCGTTGATACTTTCAGCCGTGCGCGCCGAGAAACAGAGAAAAAGAGAAAGAGGGAGCGGCAGAGCGTTGCAGAGGGTGCGCGAGGGGGCACGGTCATAAATTTTACTACGTAATATTGTTTAACTGCAAACAGTAGGTATGTGTGTGCGTACATAAGAAGAACGCGAACGATCGGTAATGACGACAACGACGACAACAACAACAACGACAACAACAACAACGACAACGACGACAACCATTACCACTGCCATTGGCGGGTGTCGTAACCTCCTCTATTCGTCATCGGTGAATCGGAAGTTTGGCGAGGCCGATCTACGGCGGCAGAATTTCTTTCCTTGGTCGGCAAGAGAAGCGAGAGGCGGAAGGGAGAAATTTCGACCGGAAGAAGACGTGACGACAACTCAAAGTGGAGTACAACTGGAAGCATTCGTGGGAAATCGGTCGCCGCGGGTCGTTCGCTTCGCGATTCACAACCACCGACAGTGCTTTCTCTCGCTCCGGGGCCAGTTATGAAAAAATACGAGATGAAAAAAGCGATCGAGAACGAGCAAACCCCCGACTATCCTGTTCCACCATCGAACTCTTCCC